TTATCATCACTACCAGAAGCTAAAATAGTCCCATCTGGTGAGAAGGATACTGACCATACTCTTTCACTATGACCACCTAATTTGACTTGTTATTATCCAGTTTTGGCATCCCATAAACGAATTGACTTATCATCACTACCAGAAGCTAAAGTACTTCCATCTGGTGCAAAGCAGATAGATCTAACATAACTACTATGACCAATTAATTAATTCAGTTCACTAATTTTTATGTTCTTCCATTTACAATTAAAGAGAAGAGCCCCATTTAAATTCACTCCACTTATATCCACATTGTTCAATTTTGATTCATTTAGATTGCACCTAACAAAGTTTCCTCCAATTAATGAAGTATTCTTTATCCTGATTTTTTCGAAAGATTGATTCTTCAATCCACCTTCATTTCAACTAATATATTTAATGAGTTTGAACCACTTTATATGAATTACTTATCTATAGCTGTGAGCTTAACTAAAAATTTTAACATTTAGACAATCTACTCATCTTTTGATATTTTTTACATTAGATCTTTTCTAGATTTGTAATAGGCATCTATACAAAAATTTTTTTTATTAAAATCATGATCTTTAACTTATTTTATAATATTCATCATTTTCTTCATTTTATTTTTAGCCAAATTTAACTTCTCTTCCTAATCAGCATGTGTTAAATTAATAGCTTTTAAGATGGATGATTCACAACAAAGATTTTCATCATCTGAAAAATATTTTAAACAGTCTGAAATGTTTTCTTTTCTCAAAATTTCAATTATTGCCTTGTAGATTCCTATGATTCTAACCTTAATTTCTTGAATACCTATTAATTTATTAATATTTTATTTTATCAATACTAAATAATTATTTATTCAAAAAAATGCTTGATACTTTGTTTTAAAAAAAACAATAGAATGCATGTTCATAACAATGCTTGTTAAAAATATTATTGGTTTATTTAATATCTATTTATTATACATTAATACATATTTTAAATACTTTATGTAGCTTATCCCAAATATATTATTTATAGTTATGAAAATTAAAAGATACTTAATTGAGCTCTATATCACTATTTCATAAATTACAAGTCAATCAATATTTAATTCTTTCTTTTATTTTTCTAATGATAATACATTTTTATTTTATGGGTATATTAATGTAGTTTACAAATCTAATCAAAAATTATTAGACTATTGCTTGCTCAAATGCTAAAACCATATTTTCAAGTTCAACATTTTCTTCATATTTCTCAGTGTTTATCAATCTAATTAATTAATTAATGGAATGAAGATTTCTCAATAACTCTTGTCATTAACCTCCTTGCCCAATTTCCATAATCATATTTTATGACACTAACTATTGAATTCAAATCCTATATTTTCTCTTTAATAGGTTTCCATTCAAATTTCTTAACAAAATCCAAATATCTTTGAAATATACTTATATATTTTCTGTAACATATTTTCATAATTTCCTCTATTGGATCAATACAGCTTTTCCTTTTTTATAAGTCC